ATTCCAGGTCAAGAGAAAGTTTCTTAAAATTTAAACCCTTGAAGGATTGTCAAACTTGATTTTACCAAAAGATTACGTATCAATGTGTGTTAGACACAAACATTCTTATAACTTTCAGAAATTACCAGCTTTAGAAACTACCTTCTTTCTCCTTCAAAATGCATTTCTATGCCTATGCTTTCTCTATTGCACCAAAGCCATATTTTCCTTAACCTTAATTTTTAGGTGACATGTAAGTAATTAACGTTCCTTAGATTAGCAATACATTTATATTTTAAGAGAGATTTCAAATAAAATACAAGACTTACTTATTAACGATTCAACGTCATCCTCGATTCTCCAGAGAAGGTAAACTCAGATCAATTAATGTTTCAGTATCATTTAACCCAGCAATGCTCCAAAGCCTTTAAGTTATCAAAGACTTTGGAAAAATTACGTATAGGCCTATATTTATAAACCAGGGAAGAGTAAACTAAAGTCCCTAAAAGATTACATTACAGATATACAGACAGAAATCTCACTAGCTTAACTGGGTTTCCCAAAGTGGGACTTGCCCCATCTTCAAACAAATTAAACAAACAACAAAAAGACATACAATTTCAACAGAAACACTCCGTCTGTCTGGCCACTCTCTCGGTGGAGACAAACTCTTAGCTTTGGAGAATCCGTATAAATCCTGGAACCGGATCACCACCGCAGGGCGGGGCCGGGTTGCCTCAGTCCCCCAGGGTGAGGACGCCTCTCTTAGCCATATGGGAATCACCATTAACGCTCTCATTCACACACAGTCAGTCCGAGTTTGACTTCCTCCCCAGGAAGCCCCAAAACAGAGGCAGATCAACTACCTAAGAGCTCCACAGTCAGTCCGTCCAGCAAACAGAGGCAGATAACTGCCTAGCGGGTGATCAGCCAACCTCTTCTGTCCCGAAAGACAGGCCTGAACTCGGCCAAGTGGGGCGGGGGACGAGGAGGGGCGGGGAAGAGATGTAACCGCGGGTCCGGAAAGCTGTTTCCTGCCTCAGTGAGTCCCCCAGAGCGCAGAGTCGCAGCGGTCTCTCCAGGCCCCGCGAATCCAGGAACCGGCGAATGTGCCAGTGGCGCCTTCCCAGGGTCTCAGAGCCTGAATGAGTGCCCCAGTGCCCGGGAGTCCGCTCTCATCAGCGTTGGCCCTAAAACCCAGCGCAGCTGACGCTTCGTGGGTCAGGGAAGCAAGAATGTTGTTGCAAATGGCCCAAGAGAACCATAGCCGGCACCCAGAGGAATCTGGAAAATAAAATCTTTATTACCCAGAGGAATCTGGAAAGTAAAATCTTTATTACTCAGAGGAATTAGGAAAGCAAAACCTTTATTTCGCAGCGCTGCTAGTTCAGGGGACCTTGATCCAAAGCCTGAACTGACAATGTGGGGAGGCTTTGATATATACACTGAGTGGCCAGATTATTATGCCCACTTGACGTTTGTAGGCAAATTAGGCGTACACTGCATCATATGGGATATGGAAGCCGAAGGCCTGTTCCAACACCTTTGCTGTCTGCAGTTACCAAGATAAAATGTCTCCAATTCACACAGGAACACAAGGATTGGACAGTTGAGCATTGGAAAATGTCATGTGGTCCGATGAATCA